AAAATGTTTCACTATTACGCAGGGGCTGAGATCCTATGTGGAAATGCCCTCCTAATAGGGACCCTGAAGGGGAACGTTCCGATTTTGTCCAACTGCAAGCTTACAAGTGGTCTCGACGATTGGTCTGGGATATGGTAAGCGATCTCCATTGCGATCAGGCGATGACTTGTTTTGGTGTAGAACTCAACAGGGTTGTAGAAACTTTTGGCCCGATACTCATAAATTGCTTTAATCCTTCTAGGTTCCACAGGTTTCAGCCCAACGTATTAGGATGGCGGGAAAGTTCTGTCACTTTTTTGAACTCAAAGTATTGCCCATTACCTGAAGAGGGTGAACGGTAATGTATATACATCAAAGAGTGGTCTTTCTATTAGTACCACTCGCTTGATTCCTGCTTCTTCTTCTTCTGCAATATGGACAAGAATGTTATCCGCTACCATCGCCACCGACCCCTCCAAATGCTTCTGTGCAGCGCACTTCCAAAAAAGTTCTAGCCGTTCCTCATGCAATAGAGCTGGATGGCTCTCCCCTTACAGTGTAGCACAGACATTGCTCCTTCTAACTGCGAGTTGCCTCCCGTAATCAATCATTACTGGACGAGAAATTACGAGAAAACCTCGAAAAGTCTGAGTTCAAGCCAAGATTGAGATGATGTCCAACTTTGTATATCGCTCCCTGCATTGTGAAGCGATGGCATCCATGAGGTGCTCAAAAACAGGCAAGGACCCCGCAGTAACATTGCTGTACAATTTTGATCTTACACGCCTCTCTATAAAAAGAAAGCCCAATTTGAAAAAAAGTTTCAGCCGCGCTGAAAGCCCTTACGCTACCACTTTGTCTGGATTATACCGCTAACAAATATCCTTAAAAAACTTGAATATACATTCATCTAGCCTCCTTTTGAGCTTCCCGCTCCGCTAAAGCTAAAGACTACATTCAGATGCCGTCACGATGCTACATTGCACCTCATGATGAGACCGTAATCAACAAAGAATATTATTCCACAAACTCGCTATGCAAAGACGATCTTAGTAAAATGTAAATATAGGAAATCTCGTAATTTATTGAAAGAATTGACCCTTTTTTTATCCTGCCACGGCCGCGCGAAACTATTCCTGAATGTTGCAAATCGCACACGTTTTCTAGTTGACCTTTTAGGACTCTAGTGGGCCATTTATCATCACACTGTAGAGAATGGAATGCTTCAAGTGTTGCCAGTGGGGAAATGAGAGGTTGCAAAACGCGCAACTTGAATCCACAAGGATCCCTTGATATTTCTAGCGAGTCCGCCCTTGATATCAGTGGTTGCCATCACTCGTGCATGCTAAAGGGTGATTTATATAAATTCTATAATGACTGACGGCCCAACCCGATTAAGAGTTCTCGATCGCCAGCGGCCCGTTGGGGAAGCCCACGCGAGAGGGCGGGTCGCTATGCGCCAGTGAGCAGGAGGCGTCGTATTTGAGCTGGGAAAAAATTATTTTGATTAGTTGGTTTTCCACAGACTTTGTAAGCAGGGGGGGGGGGGTCGTACAGACTCGACTAAAATCCCCAACCAATGATGTGCCCTGCTCGATCGTGTTCTTTTCAGGTCAAAGCTCAGCTGATGTTGCACATTCTCACTACCGATGGCAATATTCACTTCTGTGGTGAGCACCCAGTTGGGTTCTCGCTAACCCTCTTGGAGCATTTTTGAAGGTGAGCTACTTGGTGCCGGTCCCAGGAAAGAACCTCTATATTGCTGTGAATTGCTTGCTTAATAAATATAATTTTTATCTACTTATTCTCTTTTTCTATTTGTATTGCGCGACTACAGTAGCGCGAAGACTACTGCCTACTCCTAGCTCTCTGAAAGCAACTGTGGACATTATGGATATTTTGCAGGGGTAGCATTATTAAGGAGCCAAAAATTGGCAATGATCTCACAATAACAATGGAGGATGACACTCAATGAACTTGTTTTTCCTAGGCGCGGCCCCTCCACGACCTTCACTTTCCTCTTTACCTACAGTTTGATGATTGGAGATCGCTTTACAGCTTATTGTAGCTTAGAGTGTTTTATAGATAGTGATGGCCTCATCTCCTATACAGTGTGCCCAAGCCACTCTGCACAAGCCCGTTTGCACTGAGAGGTCCAAAGGGCAACGATTCTTTTGTAGAAGTCTCCACTTTCCTTTTCAATTATTGAGAATTTCTTCGTTGTGTATATCGTACATGAAAAACAGGTTCGTCTTGCAACACATGAAAAATTGGCTAATGTTGCGATAGGGATCGGATCACGATTACCGAGAGGGATACACCGCTAGCGCCGACTTGATCGCCGCAAGGGCGAGTTCAAGACAGGTTTCTCGATGCCAAACGACAAGGTGGCCAGAAAGCCTGTAACGCCCACAAAAATTCCTATAAAAGCATATTCCAATGGTGAGTAACCACGGCAAGCATTTTAGCTTCCACAGTGAGTTAAACCTCTTCTTTCACTTTGCCTTCAAATTTTCGATTAAGAGACAATTAAATTTCTTTTATTTTCAAGATGAAAGCTATATTCGTGGCCGTTGGGCTTTTGGCGGTCTTCGCCATCGCATTCGCAGAGGAGGAGAAGGTAAGTGGTTATCTCAACGAATTAGCTCTGAAAGACTCTTTAACTTGTGATATTGACATATTTCATTCCAGAAGGAGCTCAGTGAGGAAGGCTTGACTATCTTGAACCAACTCAGAGAGCTGAGGAAAGAAGAGGAAGACGCACTCGAAGCTGTTGAAGATGTAGCAGAGAAGGCCCTGGTAGGTGTGATCATTACATCGCCGTGAATACACTTTGAAGACACCTCTCATTGACTTATTCTAGATCACTAAGATTTTGGAAACGGAAGAGGACGAAGCTGACAAGCTCGAGGTAGGCATCGTTCTTCTCATCATACCCAAGTTGTTTTTCCTAGAATGACTGCTAATCTTACAGAAAACCGAGGAATCCACCCGTGTGAAGCGTGCGGCTCGCGGACGAGGACGTCGTGGCCGTGCCCGTCGTGCACACCGCAATCGTGCCGCTCGCAAAGTGAGTCACGCCTACCAACCAAACCATTCATGGCACTTCATAACTGTTACATTTTAGCGTTTCCAACGCCGTCTTCGCCGCAACCAGCGACGTGCTGCACGTAAGCGTCAAGCACACGCCCGCCGACACCGCAAGAACCAACGCCGTGCCGCAGCCAAGCTCCGCCGTCGTCGTCACCGCGGATAGAACTTACAACGTCAACTAATTTATCCAATAAATATTGCCGTTATTCTGCTCTGTGGTACACCGAGAAAAACATCTTGTAGTGCACAAAAAAGATTCAGGGGTGGTTCGATTACATCCTAAGTTGAGTTCTTCGAGTTTCTTCGAAGATAGAACCCGCAAACAGATATTCGGGGTGTGGGGTTCAAGTTAGGATGACAAAATGCCGAGAAACCAGCGGAACAGAAAGACTCGTCGCTCAGATAGAACCCTCCAGCAAGCGTATTTAAACGACAGAGGGCGAGTAAAGAGTGTGATCGGACGTGATCACCCGACCGTTCTGTTGTGGTAGATATGGTGATCGCATGGTGATGGTGACGCAGTTGATCGCAATTGATTTCTTATTGAAAGCAATGTCAAATCAGCACATCGCCACGTTTAGTTGAAGTACGCAGCCACGCCTACCACATCTCAGGGATTTCGAGTGTACCCCTTTGGCGGCCTTATGTTATTGAGGGTGAGTAGAGCGGCGGACGTTGTTGATCAAGATGGGTCGGGCCAGTGAGAGGAACAACGGCATTGCCGGCACGCCACTCCAATATGCTAGGAATGGTACGGCACCGGAGATATGGATTTTTCGCGTCGTCCGAATTTTCGTCATAACAAAATCACAACATGGAGTTCTTTTGAATAGCGGGTGTGAGAAAAGAGTAGTGTCTCATGGACAGGGAAAGTTTTCTAGATCTCGTTACTACTTTGGTTTTTCAAGCGACCACATCTGAACTCTGGCTTCAAAGCAAGGAAAATCGTAGGCGACCCTTAAATGCAACAAAGACGTCACAAAGAAGAAAGTCCCTCAGAAGGAGGAGTTTGAATGTGGCCAAGTACAGCTAACAAGCACCAAACATTGAGCTTCCGAACCGTGCTCTTTGCTCTTCAAAAGCTCCACTCGCAAGAAAGTTATGGATGTCCAGAAAAGGATACTCCTTGAGTTCCTGGTTCATGTTGAAAAGTTACCGCGAGATAGCTCGCTCTAGTGCAACAGCACAGTGAAACAGCGTTTTGAAGGCTCGCGCGCAATCTCTGAATGTATGCGAAAAATTGAAACTAAAATATCCTGTTCGATACCATCTACAGTCTATTGTCTATTTTCGCCTTTTTCTGAGGGGATGGGAGGTGGTAATGGGACCCGTTTTCGGAGGGGTCCTATCGAGTAGTAATTTGTAACAACACGATGGCTGCCCTGAGGTCATCCAGTTCTACAGAAATTGTTGAAGCGGGCAAGCGACAACAATCGGATGGAAACGAAACCCGGCCTCCTGATACATCCCAGTGGATACAGCGAAAGTGACTACATGTTAACCATACCAGCCAGAAAAGGAGCTCCCACGTGGTCAGCCACAAAGCTGAAGGCACGGCTGCTCGAAGAGGCGTTACTATGCAATTTCTTCACTCTCCTTACCCAGCTCGTTTTATCTCCACCAGTGGGATCTCCTCCTTCCGCGTGTGAAGTGGGAAACAAAAGAAACAACAAGCTGAAAAAATGAAGTTGCCCTTATCCCGACCTCAGAAAAGAGTGGAAACCCCTTCCACGTATCCCAGATCCTTTTAGGTACAGAAAGTTCCAGGTAGTAGCCATTACTTAGAGAAAAAGATCTTACAAGTCTTTGGGCGCACTCTGTCGCGTACCGACGATCGCCGCGATCGCCACGATCGTCGCGGCTTGTGGAAGTAACGTCACATCTTCGGAACATTCCATTCAGTAGTTTCAGTTGATCTCGGCTTAATAGGCGTAGTTAAGTGCAGGTGTCAGCCTTCCTAGGTTTTGAGAGAGGTTTACAAGACGGACGTTTCGGTGTAAATCGCCTTCTTCGAAGGCTGCAAAATCGAAACGTACATTATCCTAACAATTCACCCAATAACCACTCCCAATTACAGAAGAAAGCTAAAGGACGTGCAATAAGACAAGGTGTTGTGAAAACCCATAGCTAATCTTCGGATGTGAAGCTTCGGGCACCCTGAGCCTAAAGACTGCGCAGTGATTTTCATATGACTTAAGGCTCAGAGTTTTTCAGGTCAAAGGGCTCGAAGAACCATATAACACCGTGAACGTTTGGTCAAGTAACAGGAGCGAGAAAAGAAATAGTACTCAGTAAACGTCTTTTTCTCCTTCCCTTCCTTCGAAAGTTTTTCCCCTAGAAGTCCTTGACCTAACATTTACGGTGCTGAATGATTGTTCAGAACTCTTTGAACTCGGAACTCTGCGCTTTCAACCCTACTTCCTGCCCGTCTCTTTGGGCCTTGGAATGCCAGAGTTTGTACATCACTCGCAAGGTCAGCTTTGGCTTTTTTTTGTACGATTATCTTTCCGTGTTCCTTACCAGTTAGCGCGTATGACTGTCGTTGGAAGTGCGTTGATGCCGTTAGAACTGTTCTCGATTGGTGCGTTTTTCGACTCTGTCAGACGACCGGGTTCGAAGAGGCCACTTGTCAGTCTAGATAAAGGCGCCTGTATCATAAGGGGCTTCCATCACATTACACTGCATTTTACGTCTGCCCACGGCAATCTGTAGGTATCTTATGGAGAAATAGGGTGCAATTGCAACTCATACCACCACGACAGATTGCTGTCGGGAACCTTAATGCCCCCTTTGTTAATGTGCGTAGCACCAACTCTCCGAAACGCGAGCTCCCGCTAAAAATACCTTGAGACGCTATTTAGATATTGACGCGCGTAAAATAATACAGCGTTCTACCGATTTTGAGAACCAGCTCTGATTTTGGTGCTATCTGAGGCTGGTGGCTGTTACACGGCTCATGCGGTTTGAAAAGGGCTAGCTAAATGAGCTACTGAATGGGTCCTTCTCAGGCCATGAGGTTGCCTACAAAGCCCAACACCTTAAGATGTAGCCACAGCATCAGAGCCTGGTCTCGTCAAAATTGGTTAGACAGGCTGTATTATATTTACCGCGTCAAATTATCACCAGTCTCAAGGTATTTTGCGGATTCACATGCATACGTTCAAATAAACCGGCACAGCAAATTATTGCTTCATGTGATCGTGTGATTACAGTGCAAATCGAGTCTTCACACCGCGTACCCCATAGCTTCTGAGATGCATCTGCCAAAGTTGCTTGATTTCTTGTCGAGGACTAACCCCACATCACGATATTTAATTCTTATCAGTAACTGAAATAATGTCTTTTAACTGGTATTGCTTACAGGCCTGCATTTATGCTTTGCAGCAGTGTTCACGGACGCGACCGAGATAGCGCCACAAAGCGTTCAAGAGCGTCGGCAGCGTCAGGCAACTTAGCGAAAATTAAAGATATCGTGTATGCTAGGCCTGCCAGCATGTCTCCCAGAGCCTATCAGCGTTTGCCCAGCGTTCACCAGCGTGTCTCGAGGGGCTAGGAAAGTGTAAGTGTCCGACTCTAGCTCTGCTTAAGGTGCCACCGCGTTCATGCTAGTATTATAGTATTGATTATTAGGCTCATACTCATTCAAAAGTGGCGATTTTTTTGAATAAAAAAAAGAGGAGAATAGATAGAAAAGTGATATTTTAGCTTTAGGATGAGTAAATCCCTCCTTCACCAATGACCCCTCCCAGTGCCCCGAGGGCCTTTGGACCGTACCTTCGATTTTTCAACAAGTGTGAGTAAATTGCTGTTGTTGCCAATTTCGGCAAATGACAAAACATTGTAGCGTCTGCCGTCGAAGAGTACTCTCTACTGAATAGAACAGTTGTAATCGCATGGCTTTATGACGGGCGAATGGGACGATTGAACTCAGGTCTCAGTATTGTTTGTGTCCCAGCACTGATCTACAATACAGTTACTCGGGGTCTGGCACTATGACGAGCAACGGTGGCCTTCTTGTAGTTGTGTGGTACCATCCATTTGTCGATCTGAATGCCGAGGAACAGGCAATATGCACCGACAGTGACGGATTTGTTCTCTGTATAGAGCCGCTTGAAAGCCACAGTGTGGGAATCCTTTGCTATGATGATCATCCACTTGCGCCCACGTAACTCTTCATGGTAGAACTCGGGCGGCTTCTCATCTGCATTCATACAAAATTGACGATTGTGAGTTTCGGCTCGAGGTCCGAGACCACCCATATTTCATCTAAGGCCTGGGTGCGTTTTCACAGTTGTGAGTGACATCTCATGCTGAGAACATTACTGCTGGAGGTATAGAATCGGTACTGCGTTCGTGCTTCTATAAGAAAATTGGGTACCCATGCGCCACCCTCTTGACCATCCTCCGTTTATCGGACATAACTCGGGCAGCAGTTGCAGCTGGGATGTCAGACTCGCGGGGAAGCTCGACAAGGGTCCAGGCTCTGTGATCAGATATTCAGTGCCTGACTTCATCCACCCGTTTTTCTTGTGCAGGATGAATATTATGGGACCACCCACGACAACAAATTTTTTCCTTTCTTCCTTGTACGGGCTCCTGAACCAGATCTTCCACCGTGTATTTCGAGAACACCCTT